TCTTACTGCTGCGAGCCAACAGGCTAATGGGAGCTATTATTCTTCTTTGTCCCTACTCTAGGGGTGATATGTAGAGCTCCCTCTACAGGTTTGGTGGGAGAAATTTCAGTGGATATCAGCGGCTTAAAGCCCGGTGCGGCTCATATTATGCAAGTTTTCACATAGTAAATACGAAAATACTGTATTTACTACAACAGCAAAGAAATCCAACTCGAGTCCCAAAAACTAAAGATACTGCTGGTTTTTTTATTTTAATTATTTATTCCACTTTTGCCTCCATGAGAGAATGGATTAATATAAAGAAAGAAGAAAACAGGATTCAATAGTTTCTTTGCCCTTCTTATCATGGTTTTGAATTTAGGAGCATTACTTCTATTTGTAGGGCTTTGACTGCAGTATGATGAAACTTAAAGACCATATCCTTCCCCATAGAAGAGCATACCTTTTTAAGATCTTAGTCTACCTTAGTACGGGTAACCCGACCGTGTCTATTCTTCACACATAAATCCTATGTAAAATATTGGATGCTTAGACTCACCATGATCTTACTGTTCTCTTCCTTGTCTATGTACTGATCACAAAACATGTGGCATGAACCCAAAACAGCCAGCTTCCCAGACTCCTAGGTGGAAGAAAAATAAAGAACACAAACTTTCAGCATGCATTTACAGATGGCGATTATTCTGAATGTATGAAATAATCTTAGAATCGCATCCACTGGCCTTTCTGTGATAGAAGGCCAGGATAGGCCTGTTGAGCGGGAAGCAGATCGAACCCGTTGAAAGAACAGCCACAGCAGGGGCAATCACATTCAGAGTGGCTCCGTAAGGGTAGACAAATGTGAGAGCCCTGCAGAAACACAGAAGGATCTAATCAATCACATTAAATTTGGAAAGAGAACAGCTACCAATAAAAAATCAAATAAAAGGGAAGTTACTTACTGCGCGTTGTTTCCAGCAGTTTCATCTTCAAACACTTCTGTGAAAACTTTTCCAGCAGCTCGACTGATCTCTCTGAACAAGATGGAGAGCGATGAGACTTTTTAAAGTGGTATCACAAACAATCGAAAGAGCCCATAAGGACGTGTTCTCACAGCTGACCGGTTTAATACGCCATCAGACACGAGAGCCTCCTTAGGGTGGAAGTAGTGTTTGTGGTACACGTTCCTCACAACGGCGTCTGTGGCGGTAAAAATACAAACACAGAATGTTCAGAAGCTTGATAACCTCTCTGCTGGGGACTGTCACTGCACCAAATGTCAGTATGCACCGTTGTTGACAATTATTCCAAACTCCTCCAGGAGAAAATTGATGTTTGTGTCGTATTTCGTTTCTCCGCCCTCTCCAAGCATGACCAGCACATTTCCTCCTCCATCCAGGTAGTGCTTCAACACCTCCAGCTGTAGAAGAAAAAGGCGATAAATGGGATTAAAAGAGAACAATGTTTGTGTTTTTGTTCCCCCTGCTTTCTAAAGCCTTTTTTGTAGAACACCAAAGGGCCACGAAAAGCTTTAATTTGTAATCTGATGACGATTTACCTCTGATGCTGTGAACATCTCCCTTGGGCCAGCGGTAATCCATAACTTGACACCTTTCAGCTTCTCCACACACAGTTCTTCCTTCATACTGAAAGAGATCAATTGAGGAAGGTCTCTTTGCTGTACCAGGCAGCTGTTGTTGTTTACATTTCAAATAAAAAAAACATGATGTGTGGAAGAAAAAAACTGGGTCAAAGCAGTTCTAAATAAATGAAGTCTGCAAAATATCTGAAAAATCTGTAATTATAATATTGTAATGATCTCATTTGAAAGTAGCACGCCTATTTCCTCCCAATAATAACTATGTTCCCACCCCTTCGCAAAGGTCATGACCTTGGTAGCAAAGATGTAACCAGATGTTTGCATAAAGGAATGTAAAAAATGCTAAATATATTCTTAGCTTGTAGAACTTCAGTAGTTACTAATCATCAATATCAAAGTCTATCAGTTTTTGGATCTTAGCAGTTCTTTATAGGCTTGTCCCGATCCGATCCTCGGATCGGATCGGACGCCGATATTGGCAAAAAAATGCGCATCGGCAAAGCATGTAAAAATGCCGATCCAGACTGCCGATCCAGTTAAAAAAAAAATAAAATCCGGTCGGTATTTTCCAGTTTCGCCGATTGAAACGATCCATTCCACTATTTTGCGCCACTGTTCCCCGAATCCGGTCCGCATTTTCCAGAACACCTTCAACACACCCACAGGTCTTTTTGGGTCTGTCTCCCGGCCTAACCATTAAAACCGGTGAATTGGAAGATAGCTGGGAAAATGTCAG